TGCAAGCAGCAATAGGGCTTAGCTGCCCATACATTCAAAGTTGCGTTAGAGCGAGAGCTGCAGCTGAGTGCGTTCCAGCGAGTGAGAAGCCCCCTGGGTCACCGGCCCAAGGCTGCGTAGGGCCTGGATAAGAGGCGTTAAGCCTTTTGGAATCTCTTATTCTAAGTATTTTAACTCTGGTAGTGCTCTCTATGGTCCTCTACCAAGGAAGCAGACTCCCCTAACACGGTGTTTGGAGGCTGCCAGTAGGCCAGTGGGGTGCCAGCGGGAATGGGGGGTCAGCTGCTTTCTTGGGTATCATCTTGTCTTTAAATTCATTCAGTTGCATGTTACGTGGTTCCTCAGATAATATGGAGGAGATTCTCTTCAATAATACATTGAACCAGCTCGAGAGCACCATGGCACCTTCGCAGCGGTATACAGATGGGAGAAACAGCGGATTACTTTAATGAACATCCGAGTATCGATGGAGTTAGGCATCAGCATTCATACTGCAGACCAAATTCACATCTTTTTGGGAAAACGGTGCCCAAGTAATTCAATATGTACCTGCTACTTTTGCTGCAGGTGCTACGGAGGCCCACCGGGCTACTGCGGCTCACGTGGTTCCCTCTGCTCGCCGGTCTGCTTCTGCTAGTGCTGGTCCCGCTGCTGCTTCTGCTCGCTATGTTCTTGCAGGGCTGTAAGTTGTTGACAGGAATTTGATACACAGTTTGTTATACATTCGTATAAGAAGTTAAATTTCATCACCGTGTAGCATCAGAGACCCGGGGGGTGTGTGCACAGTCTTCACGTGTTTGGGGCTGGGACGCGGTGGGTTCGTTGCGGAATGCTTGATGTTTACCGGTCCTTTTTGTTTGTTTTATTTGAAGAAAAATGCATTGAAAATGAAATATTTCGCCTGCGCCGTCCTGGCGCTCTTCTCGAGAGCGCTGGGATCGTCGGGATCGTCGCTTTCCCCCGAACGGGCACGTGCGGCTCCCGCCAGGATTCCACGTGAATCGGCGGATATTTTTTGGTTTTATCATGACCACACAGTGGGATCTGAGGAGTTTGTAAAGGAACTTGTCAAGAGTAGGCAAGGAGGTTTTCATGTTGCCTGCTTCGCGCTTAAAGGTATGTGTTTCGTTGCTGCTCTGGCTACTGCTTATCTCCTGCTGCGGTGCTTTTTCTCCCTCGCCGCCCCAGCATCACCCGCCGCGTATCGTGCCCTATCCGCTGCTGAAGGGGACGACGGTATCGACGGCTGCATGGGTGCCCAGCAGCAGCAGCAAGGGCAACAACAACAGCAACCGGAACAGCAGCAAGAGGACCAGCAGGACCAGGAGGAGGAGGGGGAGCAGCGTCAGGACCAAAAGCAGCTGCAACAGGACCAGGAGCGCCAACAGCGGCTGCTGCAGGAGCAGCAGCGGCAGCAGTACCTCATGCAGCAGGTGCGCCAGCAGATAGGGCTCCTGACTGTGACAGAAGAGGCGAAGAAGTTGTTGACAGAAGAGGAGGATAAGGCCGTGCAGGATGCGTTGTGTGTTGCCCAAGAACTGCTCAAACAGGCGAAAGACAAAGTAGCTGCTGTTACTGAGTTCAAAAAATCCCTAGAAGAAGATAACGCTGAGCTTCAGCGCCAGCTCGAAATGCTGCCCCCTGGAACCCCCCACCCGCCCAAAGTAATTCAGCTCGCTGCTGATATACAGTCTGACCTNAAATGCTGCCCCCTGGAACCCCCCACCCGCCCAAAGTAATTCAGCTCGCTGCTGATATACAGTCTGACCTTAGTTCGCTGCAGCAGTACAGAAAAGAAGCTTCAGAAGCAGTGGAGAAACTCTACGCTGTAGGCTGCAGCTCGAGTCAGCATGCCTGGACGCTGCTGCAACTAGCGGAACGTCGGGCGCTGCAGCAAGAGGCGCGGGAAGAGCCCATCCCGCTTGCTCCTGTCGCTGCAGTGGTAGCAGCAAACACAGTGCTGGGCTTCCCAGCACCCCCGTTAGTAGTACGGAGTGGGAAAGCGCAGGAGCAGCTTGACAAGATGGTGGAAACTATGCAGAGGGAAATTGCCACTTGGCTTAGGGTGCTTAAGCAGCCCACCCTTCTAAAGGGGACTCCACATGTGGTGCAGAAGCAGCTGACAGCAGCAGCATCAGCAGTTCTGAAAGCACGGCATATGGCAGCGGGGTTGCAAGAGCTGCAGATGCAGGAGAAGGCTCAGCAGCTGCGCACAGAGCTTGGCCAGGTTGAGATGCAGCTGCGTTCTGTGGAGCGGCGGCAGCAGGAGCAGGAGAAGGAAGAGCAGGAGAAGCAGCAGCGTCGCCGGCGTCAAATGCAGGAACAGGATGCCGTATTGGCTACGCTGGGGGATTCGGAGAAAGTAACCGCGCGTCTGAAAACTGCGGTTGACAGGGTTGCAGTCCTTCTTGACGCAGGACCCCTCCGAAGCGACAAACAGGTCGAGGAGGCGGAGGACCTTTACGAGGAGATCGGCGCTGCTCTGGGAGAGGCAGGAAGCCTTAATCGGGATCTGCTGAAGGGCACTAGGACAGGCGAACTGCTGGACGAAGCTGCAGGACTCGGCCGCTCCCAGATAGGGGCACTCCAAAAAGTTTTGCATAAGACGTGGGAACGATCTCTGCTACAACATGCAATGGATGTAACATTAGCCCTAAGAGATCTAACGGCTGCTCACGAGGAGATAGAGAGGGACTTGAAAAAGCCTGAAACAGCAGCTGCAGCAGCACGAGCAGCAGCAGCAGCAGCAGCAAAAGCAGCAGCTGGTGAGACTGTGAGAGCCCTCACTATTAAGGAGGAAGGCTTGTTGCACTGGCTAGAGAAGGTGCTGATTGTCCATCAGACGATGACAGTGAAGCACCAGCATATGGAGCGGCTACTCCACGCATACAACCCTGAACAACGCCTGCTGGACAAGTTGAAGCAGTTGGGGGACGCCCTGGAGGCCGCCCAAGCAGGAGTAGAACTCGCAACCCAAGCGATGCTGCGCTGGTGGCTCTTACCTCTCGACGAGGCAGCGGAAAATGAATCTAAGGCGAGGGAAGCCCTTAAGGAACTGCAGAATCAGCTGAAAGCGAAGAAGGAAGCTGGAGAGGAGTTGTCTGAAGAAGAAGAAGAGAAGCAAAGGGCTCTCCAGAAAGCCCTAGAGGATGCAAAAACGAAGAAGCTAAGCGCAGCAATGAAGGTTGCAGCTGGGGATATTGCATTCAGAAAAATGGGTATGCCCCAACCGGTGCAAGATATGTTGCAGTTCGCCTTGCCTGTTGCAAGGGCCCCTCTTGCAGCGGGTTCTGTTTTTGCTCCTGACTTCCGGCCTGTAGCAGAACACGTTAATCTAAAGGTAACATTGCCTAGATTAAAGTTCCTATTCATCTCATCAACATCCCCTCCCAGCGAGGTCCCAGTGGCTCAACGTGCGCGGCCACCTGCTGGTGCTGATGATGGTGGCGCTGCTGCATCCACCCGTGGACTTAGTACTTTACAGAGGAGAGTGAAGGCAGTGGTCGACGAAGATGAAAAGGACCCTTTGGGCTCTGTCTCTTCTCTGCTGAGTACGCTAGGGAATCCGCCGATCGATGAAGGCGCCTCTTTGATGGAGTTTGCGTATACAACTGACCCTTTCGAGGAGGTGCAGATGCCGGAAGGCGCTGCAGCACCACCATCAGCAGACGCAGCAACAGCAGTAGGTGCTGATCGCGGCGGCAAGCCGTCGAAAGGAAAGAGCTCAAAGCGCAGAGAAGGCTCGTTTCGCGTATCTCTGTCGCGTAAACCATCGAAGAAGAGCGATCCTGCAGCATCAGCAGTAGCAGAAGCGGGAGGGAAGGGGGCAGATGAATCTGAAGAGCCCAAGGCAGGGAAAGGCTCTAGGCGGCCGCGTCATCGGAGGTGGAAGACTCAAGCTGGGGTGGAGTGGGATCCAAAAGAAGAACCGCGAGGAGGCGGAGGTACCCTCCCAAGGCACTGGTCTCTAAGAGGAACTAGTGACAGACAAGCAGTGGAAGAAGCGTTGCTTAAATCAAGAAGCTTAGATTCTAGATTAACACAGACTCTGCCTGCCTCTCCAGGCAAGCAAAAACGACGAAGCCTTCTCGGCAAGGCGTTCTCCATGTTCACCCTCAGACGTTCAACGGGAAGCATATCCCAAAGCTTACAAGAAGCAGCAGATGCAGCTGAAGAAGTAGAAAGAATAGGAGTGTCAACACTACCAACAACAGCACGGGGAACAGCAGCAGAAACGTCTTTGCAAACGTCAACAGGAGACGTAACAGGAGCAGGAGAAGCAGCCGCAGGCCTCAGCGATACGGGGGTACTGCCGCAGCGATGGACAGAGGAAGGGGAGTCTCTACAGCCAGTGGGGCACAGTGAAGCAAAAAGCAGCGGAAAGAAGGGAAAGGAGTCGAAGAAGATGCCAAAACGGGGCAAATCAGAAGGTGGAGACAAAAGCACCTGAGGTGATGTCGGGCTCAGCACCAGCAGAAGCAGCAGCAACAGCAGTACAACCACCAGCAGGTAGCAGCCCACGCTTTTTGTTGTGGGAGGGCGTGTTCTGCACTATGAGCAGTCCATAGTTCTCGTGATAGACGTTCTTCTGCCCTTGACCTAGAACTTGGATGAAGACTAGGGATTAGGTTGCTTGCCAGCTAGATAGATAGCAAGCCATCTAGCTAGCCAGCTCTGTTGCTTGCTGAGTATACGTGTTTGATTGAATTAGCGAAGGACGTAGCCAGCTACCAGCATACGTTGGGTTGGCGTATCCTAATGCTTGCAGCCAGTTGCTTCTTCGCACTACATTTTTCTTCGAAGCAGCAGCAGCAGCCGCTGCTGCAGCACCAGCTGCGGCAGCGGCTGCAGCATCTCTTGACACTGCCTTTGGCCTACAAGAGATCGCTGTATAAAGGTTTTTTNTTTTTTGCAGCAATGTTATCGCATCTGCAGAAGCAGGACGGATTACCAACACCTCTGTTGTATTTTCGCAGCAGATACAACGGTAGTTTTCTCAGCTTAGTCGACTTCTATCCCTGGAGTGTTTGGAACCCGCGATAGTGTATTTAGAAAGTTGAAAACCCCACAAGTCCAGCATGCAATAAAAGGGTAGCTGCAATGTTCCGTGTTCATGGAATGTCTGCAGCAAAAACAAAAGGTACTACTACGCACCACTGTGCATTCGCCCAGCACGTTTTGAGGTGTAGGAGTATGTGTAAGGCTATTCACGCCTGTGTATGTCAGCTGGAATCCAATTATACAACTGATCTTCCATGCATCGCCAGTCTATAGAGAGTTACAGATCAACATTTTGCATTTCAAATAAGTGTGCGTGCAGCCATTGACAGAGGAAGGTTTGAAGCGCTGGTTGCAGCAAATGAAAACCTGATAGCCTTGGCAACCAGAGCCGAACCCTGAAGGAGTGCAAAGCATATTAAGCCGGAATGATCCAACATGAAGGAACTGAAGACACAGTGAATATTCGAGGACAAAATTGGTTGTGAGTGCGAGCTGCTGCATTCGTGGGCCTGTATCAAGGGAGAGAAACGAGAGGGTATCTCAATGTGCACATATTGAGTCGATATATGAGGACGTAATTGCCAGAACATGTAAGAAAATTGGTAGACGTATCGCACTGGGAATGCAGCTCCCCATGATATGTTTGACGTCGTACGTTCGTTTGTGGGAACACATGGAGGACATTCTTCACCTGCTGTGGTAGCAGACGTTATACACGAAACAGGCATTTTCTGCTTTCCATTTTTATTCTTTCGCTTCTTACCTGGGGAGCGGTTTTCGATGCGCCGCTCTCTCAATCAATTCTTCTGTCGCACTGTTTTTAACAAGGGCTATTCTAGTGTGCAATACATTTATAACGATGTGGAACAATATAAGCCATATTTCGTTTGATATGTATGTGATATTTGCCCTGATCCACTTATTTTCCTCCTCTCCACCCCGTGTTAGTTTCAAGCCCGCATACCCCGTCAGCCCCGGTTGAACTGGACGCCCCCTCTGCATCAGGGCGAGAACGCGTGAGAGGCCCCGGAGGAATGCCAACTTCGGAGGATTCTCAGAGCATGTTTGGTTCTAAACTCTAAACCCTAAACTAATACATTACGTATACAATTGCGAAAAGATACTACCGCACGCCTACAGTTTACTGTGGAGATCCAGTGGTCCTCCGGGATTTGAGTTCTAATCAGACCTGCAACAACGAACCAGGCTGCAAGTTTAATTTCATAATGCAGCACTTAAAGACCAGGAAACATACACCTCTAAGCCCAGCCGTATCACATTGGCTCATGACACTCAAAAGGACGCCACCGCAGCCCGATACTTCCCAGGGGAGGTGACCAGCTCTAGTAGCAGAGCACCGCATAACGCGACCGAATTGAACTCTTCTTTCGGGGAGAGCGAAGCTCACGTATACTAATATGAACGTATAAATTAGTGAACGGTTGAATATCAGTCATTCGATGGCGGAAGCAGTCAAGGAATGCTACAACCCCCAACCTGACTGGCCCGTGCACCAGGCCACCAACGGGTAAACAAAACAGACGCAGACAAGCAGCAGGCGCTTGCGCATCAGGATATTAAAATCGTAACAAAATTAGCCGATTTAAAAGAGCAAACTTTGAGAGCGCGATATTCATTTCGCCTCGAGTCGACAAGTATGGGGGGCCAACTCAGGAATTGCACAGGGTGTTGCCAGAGGCAACAGAAAGATGCAAGGAAGAACCTGCACTACTCCATGTATTAAGAGTGGTTCATGCATTATTACTATCAATTGTAGAGCATAAATTCCATTCTTTTTGCCGTGGCAATCTACGTTCAGGCGCACTTGCTCGGAACCGCCTAAGCAATACAGGTGGCCCATCATCTCGAGCGCCGATCTCTCGAGCCTGCACGCAGCACCGTCCCCAGTGTCTTGTCGGTACCAAGCACTAGCGCATTTAAAGAGCTTGCTCTGAACACTCACTACTTCCCCTTTTTATCTTCAGCTCGTTTTGGAGGCGTTTGGACTGCATCCCGCAGGATCACAAGATGATTCCTGCTGCTGCTTTTGCTGCTGCTGCAGCGTATCTGACCATCTCACTGGCAGAGGGCGCCCGTGCAGCCGATCTGCTTGGCCAGAAAGTTTCTTACATACCCCCTGTTGAACACAGAGCTGGAAATGAAGAAATACGACAAAAAATCCCGCTGACACCACTCAAAGCCTCTAATCAAATCCGCCCCGTGCTGGGGGCTGCGCTTCTCGTGGCGCTATCCGTGGGGTTGTACCTGCTTTTGAGGTCCGCTCATGGCCTTGCCTTTTTCAAGAAGGGAGCTGAAAAAGATAAAGAATTGGACGAAGCTGAATGGGACATGGTCGAGGACGTACAAACTGGTGGTGGTAGGAGTAAGGATGAGGGAGGAAAAGGGTCTGGTGCCGGTCGTCGGGGACCTCGAACCGATGCTGAAGGGAGTCTCGCGGGTACCACCCGACGTCCATCAATCAAGTACCCACCAGCCGATGATCCGGTTACTCTGGGGCCAGAAAAGGTGGACTCCAGAATCCGCAAGATGGAACAGGTGCTCCAGTGGATTCACGAAGGTGACGATGACTCTGGACATGGCCTTGACAGCACAGGTGAGGCTCTTCCGCATCGCCTGCGCCAGGCATACGGCCTCCGCCAGAAAAACAAAAACGCCGACTTCGAACCGTCCGTCCCTGCAGACCGCATTTCGAAGTTCCGGGAACTCGTTGAACGTATTGAGGAGATGCTGGATCAATACTATGGTGATAGCGGGTGAGTGTATATTTGTAGAAATTGTCTTTTGTTTTACTGATACTAGAAACGGCCACCAATTAATTAGTGCTTGACAGTCCTCTAGTTGTTGGAGCGAGGTTTGCACTGAACGGTTGCCGGATTTCGGGACAATGCAGGCACAACAGTTGGATTTGGCTGATCAGTGAGTGGCGTGTCGTTCTGTTCTTTGCTGTGTTTGACCTGCGCGGGTGTACAGGTAGGGTGGGAGCAAGTAAATAACTAGAGGGGAAGACAAGTTGTTAAGGTCGACGGCGCTGCACTGTTGGGGCCAATAGCTGAAGTCCCTGCAGGGCGGCCGGTGGAGATAATAGCAGGGCATGTTTGCACGAAACCGAAAAAAGTTGTGCAATCGTATTTTAGCCATAATGGGTTTTTATTTCCCAAAGACGAGTTGAGTTGGGAGTGCGGTGCCGCACCAGGCATGCCCCGTGATGCTGGCAGAGGTTCCTCAGGGTCCTAAATGTAGTTGAAAGCATTTGCGAATGCATCTAAGACAGCGCAGGTAGTGTCCGTGGCAGGAGGGAGCCTCGCCTCCTAAGAAATGCTCTGCAGTGGGTCTTCGACCTCTCAATTCTGTCGCAAACAGTTTGGAGGGTATTTCTTCAATCATGATGATGATCCAATATTTTTTTCCTCAAGGGGCAGCTCTGAACAACAGCATGCAGCGATGCAATTCCCCGTAATGGTTTCTCAGGAGAGTGCACATATTTGTAGTTGTTTCACGGCGAAACTTTGGCAGTTGCTTCATCGGCATTTTGCCCGTAGTGAAAGGCAGTAGCACTGGCGCCAGCACCAGCAGGTAGAAAGCATTTGAATCCACTTCCTGTGTTGGTGATACATTTAATTCGACGAGTTCATACAATGCACCACTAAAACATGAAACTGCTGCAGGCTTCCATTTCGCTGTGTAGGTTCCACTCCCTGTATTGATGTTACATTTAATTCGACGAGTTCATACAATGCACTACTAAGACATGAAACTGCCGCAAGCTTCCCCTTCGCTGCATAGGTTCCACTCCCTGCATTGATGTTACATTTAATTTGACGAGTTCATACAATGCACGACTACAGCATGAAACTTCTGCACGCTTCGACTTGGCGGTGTAGGTTCCCGGGTCCTTCGGGTTTGGGGAGCCGGTCAGGCTTGCAGAAGTGAGCGAGGTTTCAGCCCCAGTTGAGGCCTTTACAATGCAGCATCTATAGGTCTAGAAGGGTACACCCCTCAGGTGACCTGCAGCGCAAACGCTGAAGCCATCAAAGTACCCGAGACGGGCAGCCCGTTACTTTGAGGGATGGTGGCCTGCTCCAGCCACGAAGCACTTCAGAGAGCAAACCAATTTAATGTCTTTGCTGGTATCGGCGACGTAGTTACAAGTATGCGCATAAACCTCAACATACATGTTGAGAACGATCGACTCCAGGGCGGAGACAAACAAACAGAACGGGCACGCAATTGATGACAGGCCACATGTCAGCAACTGGCAGCCCGACAAAAGCAACAAAAATGGACAACCCACAGGTTCCTTTCCATCAGGATATAAACGACCACACAAACGAGGCAGCTTAAAAGAGCCAAATGAATACGATGCTCATTTCGCCGGGAGTCGACACAACGGAATCGCCGATATTGGTGCATGGAGAGTTGCCAGCCTACAAAAGCAAGGGCCCTCCAACAGAACAAATAACCTCAATATCGTAACAAAAACATCATATTAAAAATTTTAGGACTACTATTCTCATTTCGCTGCATGCTGAGGTGACCCGGGGGTCAGGTCTCGTTGCTCGGAGTGAAGGTATGCCTCGTGCACGAAAGAAGCTATTCAATGCAAGGAAGAGTCTTCATTAATTCATGTATTGCGGAAAATGCATGCATTAACAATACAATACGGATTGACCCCAAACCTACTCTTTTTACCAATAGGCGAAGCTGACGTTCGTGCTTGCCCGTCGATTGAGCATCCGCTCTGCGGAGATTCTGAAACAGTCTCGAGTGTCTTTGCCACCGGACAGCATCATCACATTTCTTAAGAGAAGATGCACTTCTCGTTCATTCATATCTATTTACATTTTGTTTACGACAAGTTTGGGAAGTATTCCGCAGGGCCAGAGAATGTTGTGATCCTTGGCTGTCGCTGCCGGGGCAGCGGATCTAACCATCTCAGGACCGCACACCAGTGCTACCGATTTTCATGGCTACCGAAGTTCTTCCATCTCCACACATGGACATAGTGTTGAAACTGGTGAAGTCCAACAACATATCCCACCGAAACAGCTGGAAGTAGCTTTTCTGCAATCCTCGCTACCCTCGGCGTTGGGTTTCTTGTAGCCGTCTTTGTGGGGTTGCTGCGGCTACTGAGGAACATTGGCCCTTTTACCTCCCGCCGGAAAAATGTAGAAGGGGCCGCTGAAGGAGAGGTACCCGGTAGTGTAGGACGTGCGAAGAGCCCTCAGCCCCTAATATTCCCTCGCCAACGATCTAACCCCCCCGTCATTTTGGAGCCAGAAGAGGTGCAATCCAGGATCAACTGGATTGAGCAGTCTCTCCGGTGGATGAACGAGGCCAAGCAGTCATAGTGTTGTTGATAGCAAGGGTGAAAGCCTTGGGCATTGGCTGCGTCATGGAGTCAGTTCGCACGCGGAGAGCAAATACGCTAGAGCGTCTGCCCCCGAAGACATGGTTGGGAAGTTCAAGGAGCTCTTTGCGGCTAATGAGAAGCTCCTCCGCCGCCACGCTTGGCTCCCGTGAGTGTTCATTTGCAGAAGTCCTGTTCTGTGAAAGTGCGTGTGATTAGCGGGGACTATGCTTGACATTGCTAAGCTGGGTTTGCACTAAACTTGTTGGACTTAGGGAGAGTGTATGCGCAGACGTCGAATTTGTCCGACCAACGAAGGATGCCTCAATAAGTTCTCTGCTCTGTTTACTTGTTCGCAAGGAGGATTGACAAGAGTGAAGACTAGACTAGATGGAAAACGCTACACTGTTTGGGCGAGCTGAGAGCTGGAGAGCTGCAGAAGCCCCCGCAGGGAGTCTGAGTGGTGGCGGTAGAAGGGCATCGCTGCAAGGATCCGATTAAGGGGACACAAGGATGTTGGAGTTACAGCTCTACGTATTTTTGAAGGATCAGTTGAGTAGGGAATTCGGTATGGCAATAGACTTGCGCGGTGGAGCCTGTGGAGGGACTGCAGGGTTTTTAACGATAGTTGAATTGAGTGCATGCAATTGACAGCGCAGATACTTTCTGGCGATAACTGCCATTGGGACGCTTTATCGGCGGCCCGGTTTTTTTTTTCAAAACATTTTTGGAGGTTATTGCTTGAATGCGGCGATGTTCCAGTATACCTTCGGCGGGGGTCCAGTTTAGACTGCCAGCATGCTGCACCGCTATACCCTCGCTAGCGCCGTAGAGCATATTGCAGAACACTGCATATGCTTCACGGGGGCTCCGTCGTTTGTAAAGTACTAGAACAGTTAATCACTTTTGCCCGTGATTCTCGGCCGGGATGGAGGGGGCGGTCACTAGCGAATAACCAATGTCAGGAGGCGATACGCTTACGCTACGGTTGCCATTGCGTTGGCCTTCTAACATTCCTCCTTGACCCGTCGTCGTTCTTGCTTCAGTCTTCTCGGCTTCACCCCTTAAAAGTTGTAGCTTGGAATTTGTCGCTATGTTGAGACGGGAAACTTTTGGCACTGTTCAAATGGTAAGCAGCTGGAGGTTCTGACGATGCGTCCTGAAAACAATGAGCTTTGCCATCACTTGCTTATAGGGTAAACTGACGCTGGTGTCCCCGCTGATGCATCTAGGGATATCGTCGTAGACATTGAGGCCTCATGCCATCAATAGGGCATACCTTGATGCTTCCCCTCATCAGCTCTCCTACTTATGTAGTATTGGCGTAAGGATGGGGGCAGAACAGGTGTGAAGGACCTGCTAAAGCGTGATGGCGTGATGTGCTATTGACTGCCTGACGTTTAATAGTGGGCCACAGAATCAGTGGTTGCACCAAAGTTGGGTTGGGTATGCCTGTATCTCAGGTAGCCGTGCATAAGAGTTCTGCAGCTCATGGGCGGTGTAGCGTTGTCTGCCCCAAGTTCGCACAGGAACATTCACTTGGCCTTCTTAGTGTGCTTGCAAGCAAATACTAATGCTCAGAAATTCTCTACAGAGATAATGCATACAGAAAAGAAAGCGTAGGTTTGCCTGCATGTGATGATGTACGGCATTAGTTGCAGCCGGCATTTCCGCGACTCATGCCAGGCTACTAACCCTGACACGCTGCGCCAAGGAAGCCTGGAGAGACTGGAGGGAGATCAGCTGCTTCCAGGGAACTTCATCTTTTTATCGTCTGGCTTTACTGCAGCTTGTACTGGTCCTCAAATCAGGCTGAGGCAGCACCGTATTTTGCATCCGGGGAGGTGCAAGCAACAAGCCCCACTCCTTGCAGGGCATGCTATTTTGTAGCAGGAAAAAAATAGAAAAAGCCATTAAGCATTTTCCTAGCTGCACCCATGCCTTTCGCCCTTCCATTATGGAGATGGATCATGATCGGGTGGAGAGGCAACTCATGATGGGGGGCGTCTACGAGCGCAACGAAGCTCGACTTCGACGTCCTCTCCCTTGTAAAGTGCATTTACACAAAGGTAAGTTCAGGAAAAATGTCTTTCCTTTGCCGGCTAACCAGATATGAAGGGTGGCGTGATGGCGAAGCAATAGGAGTATCTTGGTTCCCTCGACGTATACCCCCGTTTCCAAAACTTACCGGAATATCTACAACTGCCATTGGCATCTTACATTCTAGAAGAAAACACACGACGAAAATTCCTGCATCTAGGCTTCCGCTCCGCCGGAGCGCATCCGATGCATTAAACCCCTCCAAGATGCGCTGCGATCCAGGCTTATCCCCAGGCCTGCAAGGGAACTGGATACGGTACGACTGAGAAAAGTTGAGAGAATGAAGCTGCCGATAGAGCTATTCATCGGA